CAGGAACAATGCCACACACACACACACACACACACACACACACACACACACACACACACACACACACAGAGCCAGAGGAACCTCCCGCCCTATGGAATCGACAGGAAGCAGCGAATTATCAGACAGTGGGGGTACGAAAGGGCTGAGCGCCCCCCCTCACCCACAATGAGGCCCATCTCGCAACGGGGATCTTCATAGCCGCAGGACATCATGGTCCCCACTGTGTCATTGACAATGGCGACCACATTCAGCTCCACCGCCTGCACACACACACACACAAAGATGCTGTTAGTTGCTGGGCAACGCGGTCGTCATGGCAACCAGCGCTGGACCCAGAGGTCTCTATTAGAAAGAGCCCCCAGCTCAGTTAACACATGACACTTGGTTTCCCTCTGGGCATGCCGAAAAAACCAACCCCACAGCAGCCTTGGAAGCAAGCTCCTACCTGTCTGCGGCCAATGGCTTCCCGCAACAGACACACGACGTCTCGGCCCTCACAGTCTGATGCCTTGAAACCCTTAGTCCAGTTCAAGAGAACGCCCTGGGTGGGGTGAAGGAGGAATGAAGCTCTCTGTGCTTCTCCAATGCTGGAGAAATGGTCCCTGTGTTACTGGCCCTGGTCCACGGGGCCTTGTCTTCTGTCCCCCCCACCCCCCAGGAGACACTCAGTGTGAAGAAACCTATTAAGGATGATTTAAGCTCCTAGTTCACACCTGTCCTCCCAGCTACTCTGGAGGCTGAGATCTGAGGATCGCAGTTGGAGGCCAGCCTGGGCAGAAAAGTCTATGGGACTGTTATCTCCAATGAACCAGCAAAAAGGCAGAAGTAGAGGTGTGGCTCAAGCGGTCAAGTGCCAGCCTGGAGGGAAAAAAGCTAAATAAAGGGCAAGACCCAGGCTCTAAGTTCAAGCTCCAGTACCAGCACTAAAAGAAAAAGATTCAACCTACATCTTCTATGATTAGTTCTCAAATGCTCATAAGAGGAGGGTCTGGTGACTGTGAGACATCATTTTTTTCTGGAAGATTAAGCCCTTCATCATTAGGAACAAACAGAGCTAGTAAAATGAGGGTATTATGCCAACAACACCCCATCTTTTCCCAGAAAAAAAAAAAAAACGGCAAGAGTCACTTCAAAGAGAGGAATTTTCCGGCCTTTCCCAAACAACATGGACTTATTTGTTCCAGGGGCAGGTGAAGGACACGTGGAAAGCCAGATACCCAGACAGGATGAGAAGAAGAGACACGCCTCTATTGTAAGCGACTGGACTTAGTGGTCAGGCCTGGGGAGACAGATCTGTTATTTTTTTCTTTGTGTGTCTCTGCGGGAGAGGCTGAGCAGCGGGAGAGAGGCCGCCGCTGTCAAAGGAAAATGACAACGGGGCCCACACTTAGAGGTCTGGAAATGTTCGGAGGTTTTATTGGTTTGGGTTTTTGGGTGGTGGTTGTTAATTTTGCTTTTGCTTTGGCTTTTGAGATGGAAGTGTTTGGATTCCTGAGTTCAAGCAATGCTCACTCTCTTGAGTAGTTTAGACTACAGACATGCACCATTACACCTGGCTAGGGCAGGAGAGTTTAAAAACGGCAATCAACTTCCCTCCCCCCCCCAAATATTCCCATGTATGTCTTTTTCCCATTGTGTACGCAGCTAGGGAGCTATGCAGATCCTCACACAGGGTTTGATCTGAAGCTACCTTTTGGTGTGGAATATGAGTGTGGGGGGGAGCTTTGAACTCAGGGCCTGAGCACTGTCCCTTAGCTTTTTTACTCAAGCGCTCTACCACTTGAGCCACAGCTCTGCTTCTAGCTGTGCTGTGGTTCATTGGAGATCAGAGTCTCACAGACTTTCCTGCCCAGGCTGGCTTTGAACCACGATCCTCAGATCTCAGCCTCCTGATTTGCCAGGATGACAGGCGTGAGCCACCAGCACTTGGCTTTCCAGACCCTTCTCTGAGGCAGGAAGAACGGTTGCTCGCCACAGAAATCCTCGGGCCAATACTACCTGGGGTGTGCCCATGCTGTGTCGGCATTCCCAGACCCTAACGGAAGGGAAACTGAGGCTGGCTGCAGACCAGGTCCACCAGGCTGCCCATCCCTCACTCCTTGAGGAATCAATCCCCTTGGTGGAAGCCCTGGCCTCTTACCTGGTCCAGGCCCAGCTGCTTGCAAGGGAAGGAGAAGGTAAAGCCCAGAGGCAGGCTCCGCCCGCTCAGGCCCTGCTGCTGTTGGAAATCCACGATGCAGTCCACGATGTGATCAAACAGCTATAAGGGGGGAGGGGGGCAGGGGAGGGTGCACACAGGTCAGGTGACTGTACCTGTAGCTATACCCCGCCTCTGACTTCCGGGGCCTGCGCCATTGCATACCTGCTGCCCCGAGCCCTGGGCCACACACTCGGGGATGGAGTAGATGTGGCTGGTGATCTGGACGCCCGCCTCGGCCACACGGACCAGGAGGACCCGGAAGTTGGTGCCCCCCAGATCCAAGGCCAGGAAGTCCCCTCGCTCTGCAGGGCAAAAGGCCCTACGGGTCAGGACACAGCACACACCAGGCCCCGCAGAGCTCCACCCCGCACGGCTCCATTCCCCGCTCACCGCTGCCATCCGGGGTGGCCCGGACATACGTGGACAGCATTCGGAGGGAAGAGGCCTCTCCCTTGAGGCCTCTGGCCATGGCCTCCCGCATCTGCGCCTGCACCGCCACCAGCTGCTCCCTGCTCAATCGGAAGGGTGCCAGCGTCTCCTCCAGTAGGTGGCGCTGAGCAGCCAGACGGGCAGCCACGGCCGTCACCATGGCGACGCCCCGGCCCCCTCCATCCACAGAGGGGACAAAGGACACGTCACATTGGGGAGCCAAGAGCACCACCATGTCCCGGAGGATGCTGTGGAACCTACACAGACACACACCAAGAATATCCCACGCTTAGCCAGGCACTGGTGGCTCACGCCTGTCATCCTAGCTACTCAGGAGGCTGAGATTGGAGGATCGTGGTTCAAAGCCAGCCTGGGCAGGAAAGTCCATGAGACTCTTATCTCCAATAAACCACCAGAAAACCAGATGTGGCGCTGTGGCTCAAGTGGTAGAGTGCTCGCCTTGAGCTGAAGAGCTGAGGGACAGCGTTCAGGCCCAGGGATCAAGCCCCATGACCAACAATAATAATAATTAATAATAATAATATGCCAAGCTTGGCATCTGGGCACCTGACCCTTAGGCCTCAGCTCTGTAAATCAACCCAAACCTGAATGTGTTCTGTACACTGTGCATCTACTACTCGAAGTGTTCCACTCCACAAATAGAAGGCAGCACTTTATTTATTTATTTTTTTTTGGGGGGGGGGTCCAGTCGTGGGGCCTGAACTCTGGGCCTGGGCGCTGTCCCTCAGCTCTTCAGCTCAAGGCTAGTGCTCTACCATTTGAGCCACAGCGCCACTTCCGGCTTTTTTCTTTTTGCTTATGCGGTGCTGAGGAATCGAACCCAGGGCCTCAGGCATGCAAGGCAAGCGCTCTACCACTGAGCCACCTTCCCAGCCCCCGCAGCACTTTATTTTTCCTTGACTGTCTCCTGACCTCCTACACGGTCCTCTGAGGATTCCACACTCTGCTTGGATTGCTATATTTTTTTGGGGGGGATGAGGGGGGAAGGGGGTTAGTAGGTGGTCCTGGGACTTGAACTCAGGGTCTCAGCACCATTCCCTGAATTGGTTTTGCCTGAGGTGAATACCCTACCACTTCAATCACAGCTCTATTCCTGTTTTGTTTGGTTTTTGGTGGTTCATTGGAGATAAGAGTCCCACAGACTTTCCAGTCTCGGCTGGCTTTGAACCGTGATCTTCCAGATCTTAGCCTCCTGAGAAGCTAGGATGACAGCCATCAGCGCCTGGCTTGGATGGCTGATTGTGCCCACCAGCTGACACAAGTCAGCCCAGCTCCCTGCCCCCCACCTCCACCCCACATCCTGCTACTTAATTTAATTGCAGGGGTGACATCACAGGGGTCACAGTTACCTAAGGAAGGTCATGAGCCTTGTTTCCCTTCCCCCACTGCCCCCATCCCCAGGGGGTAACGATCATCTCCAACAGTGTCTTATGAGTCTCGGATCGAGTTGAACACCGTACCTGGGGTGCTGCTCGAACACGCGGCCTCCCACGGCCACCGCCACTCGGAGCTCCTGCTGTTCTCGGCTGCGCTGGAGACGAACCAGGACTGCAGCCAGGGCGGCGGCGCAGAGCTGGGCGGCTCGGGTGCTCACAGCCGTGCACACGCGCTGCACCAGCTCCGCGTCCTGGGCCTTGGGGCTCAGGCCCAAACCCTTCAGGATGTCCTGGGCACAGGCGGCCCCCGTGGAGGGGCTGCAGTGAGGGGAGAATAATGGGGGGCCTTGGTTTGGATCCTTGGGGACATAGTATCTATCCCCCGCCCCCATCTCTGCCTCCTGCCCATCCCCACTCACTCCTCCATGCAAGCCACGTGCTCCAGGTCGATGCTGCCTGGGGTCAGTAAGGCAGGAGAGGTAGAACCGCCAAAGAGCACGCCACGCTGGGCCAGATGGAGCAGCACCAGCCGCACCAGCTCCCCCAGGTACAACCCCCCAATCATCTTCTCAAACCTGCAGGGAGACATGGCTGGACATGGGGCCCTGCCCAGCTCCCGGCCTGCCCAGCTCTGCCCCTAAGAACTCCCCCAAAGAGGACTCATCATTCTCTTCAGGGCCCCCACACCACAGGCCTCCCCGGAGACAGGTGGATATTTTTCCCTCTCAGACTCTGATGATTTCAGGGAGCTCCAAGAGGAGCAGCTGAACTCCAGGAAAGCTGGAGACATTTGACTCACCACCACCCCCGCCCCCCCAACTCACAACTTGTGAGGGCTGACTAGTCAGGAATACAGAAGGGCAAGAGTTAAATACTCTGGGTTCTAGCCAGGCACGGGTGGCTCACGCCTGTCATCCTAGCTACTCAGGAGGCTGAGATCTGAGGATCGAGGTTCAAAGCCAGCCCAGGCAGGAAAGTCCCTGAGATTCTTTATCTCCAATGAACCAGCAAAAAGCCGGAAGTGGAGCTGTGGCTCAAGTGGTCTGACCCTCCACATGGGAGGAAGGGACCGTGGAGCCTTTACACAGGGGGGTGGATCAGAGCAACACCAGAGCCTCCAAACACCCCCCTAGGCAGGGCACCTTTGGGCACCGGGATTCAGAGACTCGCGGTCCAGGGTAAGGTCAAAGGTGGTCAGCACTGGGCCTAGAGCCGCGTGATCATCGAAGGAGCCCCACTCCACGCTCACGCAGCTGCGGCCCCGGTCCTCATCCAGCACTGCCACGTGCCGCGCCTCCTCCATGTAGCAGGCGTTGGTGCCCGTGTCTGGCAAGGGAGGGTTTTCTCAGGGTCTGCCCACCGGGAGGCTGAGCCCCCACCCCTCCGTCACATGGCCCGTGGCTCACCCACGATCAGCCCGATCTCACACGGCCCCGCGCCCAGCTCGCAGCCCATCATGGTACCCACGGTGTCGTTCACGACCGCAACCACATCAATGCTGTAGGCCTGGTGGATGGAGAAGGTGGGGGCCATCACCAGAGAGGGGAACCAGGGTAAGGAGTCTGGGGGTGCGGGCAGGCCTGGGGCCTCGTGTGTGTGTGTGTGTGTGTGTGTGTGTGTGTGCCAGTCCTAGGGCTTGAACTCAGGGCCTGGCCACTGCCCCTGAGCTTTTTCACTCATGGCTAGTGCTCTACCACTTGAGCCACAGCACCACTTCAAGGTTTTTGCTGGCTCATTGGAGATCAGAGTCTCACGCACTTTCCTGCCTACACCACCAGCTTCAAGCAGTGATGCTCAGATCTCAGCCTCTTGGGTAGCTAGGATGACAGGCGTGAGCCACGGGTGCTCAGTGGGGCTTCAGCTTTGATGGCGACATCCAGAGCCCATGGAACATGTTGTCTGCATCCCCCACCCCACCCCCACTGCCCCCCCACCATGTACACTGCACCCCACTCTCCAGAAACTTTCCTTGGCCGGTGGCTCACATCTGAATTCCTAGCAACTGCGGAGGCTGAGATCTGAGGATCACAGTTCGAAGCCAGCCCAGGCAGGAAAGTCTGTGGGACGCTTATCTTCAATGAACCACCAAAAATCTGGAAGTGGAGCTGCGGCTCAGGGCTTAGGGAAGATCACGGACAGCACCCAGGCCCTGAGTTCAAGCCCTAGGGACTGTCACTAAATAGATAAATAACTTGGGATGGTAGCTCCATTTGCCAGAAGGGGAAACCGCAAAGAAAAGCAGGACCTCCAAGAAGCGCCGCTTGAGCTAACCTGGGGCAGAAGCCCAGGCCATCCAAGGCTGCCCCATCCCACCCAGCCCTGCGCTCACCCCCTGCCTCCGAATGGCGTCCCTCAGCAGCTGGACCACGTCCTGCCCTTCCACGCCACTGCACCGAAAACCTTTGGTCCAGGAGATGAGGGTGCTCTGGGGACAGAAAGCAGGGTCACCTCTGAAGGCTACGGCCTCGGTCGCTCCCTGTCCCCAGGTGCCCTCCATCGTACCCTGTCCAGGCCAGTCTGGTGACAAGGGAAAGAGAAGCTGAAGCCGAGCTGTAGACGCTGACTGCCCACGGGCTGCGTGTCCAGGAACTCACTCAGGCAGCGGGCAGCAAAATCGAAGAGCTGAGGGACAGGGAGGGGGGTGCTTAGCCCCGCCCAGCGCCGCCCAGCTCCGCCCACCCAGCCCTGCCCCAAAGAGACAGGGGAGTGACCAGCCCCGCCCACAGTCGCCAAGCTCCGCCCACCCAGTCCCGCCCCCAAAGGGACAGGGGAGTGCCTAGCCCCACCCACAGTCGCCAAGCTCCGCCCACCCAGCCCTGCCCCAAAGGGAGAGGGGGAGTGCCTAGCTCCGCCCACCCAGCCCCGCCCCAAAGGGACAGGGGGAGTGCCTAGCCCCGCCCACACTCACCGAGCTCCATCCACAAAGCCCCGCCCCAAAGGGAGAGGGGGAGTGCTTAGCTCCGCCCAGCTCCGCCCACCCCGCCCCGCCCCAAAAGGACAGGGGAGTGTCTAGCCCCGCCCACATTCACCAAGCTCTGTCCACCCAGCCCCGCCCCAAAGGGATAGGGAGCACCTAACTCCGCCCAGACTCACCAAGCTCCGCCCACCCAGCCCCGCCCCAAAGGGGCAGGAGGAGTGTTTAGCTCCTCCCACCTCTGCCCAGCTCTGCCCACCCAAAGGGACAAGGGGAATGCCTAGCTCCGCCCACCTCCACCAAGTTCCGCCCACCTAGCCCCAGGCCCAGAGACAAGGGGAGCACTTAACTCCGCCCACCCAGACCCAGGCCCCAAAGGGACAAGAGAAATGCTTAGCTCCGCCCACATCGGCCCAGCTCCGCCCACCTCTGCCTAGCCCCACCCACCTAGCCCCCTGGCACCAAAGGGACAAGGGAGATGCTTAGCTCCACCCACATCGGCCCAGCTCCGCCCAGCTCCGCCCTAGGCCCCAGAGGCCCTGGGCGATGGCTCACCTGCTGCCCAGGGCCCAGCACCACCTCTTGGGGGATTGCAAACTCCTGTGTTCTGGGCTCTACTCTGTGCCCTTCGGTGCCCGTCAGCGTCACCCACAAGACACGCAGGGAGGCCCCTGTGGCCCCCAGCTCCAGCACCAAGAAATCTCCTTGCTCTAGAGAGGGCAGGTGGGGTATACAAAGGCACACAGCTAAGCCACTCCAGAGAAAAAGAGGAAAAAAATTCCCCCAAGCTTGAGAAAGTCCGCTTAAAGGAACTTCAGAAATGGTGGATAAGAGCTGGCCACTGAAGGCTCAGGCCTGTCACCCCAGTGGCTCAGGAGGCTGAGATCTGAGGATCGCAGTTCAAAGCCAGCCTGAGCAGGAAAGTCTGTGAGACTCTGATCTCCAAGGAACCACCAGAAAACCAGAAGTGGCGCTGTGGCTCAAGTGGTAAAGAGCTCAGGGACAGTGCCCAGGCCCTGAATTCAAGCCCCATGATCCACCACAAAAGAGAAAAGAAATGGTAGACAAGGGACAAGGATCTTTCTCCTCCTCTCCGGGAGAATTCCACCCCTCCTCCAGGCCGGGCCACCCATCCTTGTCTATGCCACTCACCAGTGCCATGTGGTGTGGAGCCCACGTAGGTGGGCAGCATCCGAACACTAGGGGCCGGGCCGGCCTGTCCCCTGAGCGCCTGCTCCATGGAGCCCAGGAGGCTGGCCTGGATCTGCTGCAGCTGTGTCCTTGTCACCTTGAATTGCTGAAGACACTCCTGTACCTAAGGACAAGGAAGTCAGCACCAGCAAGGCAGCCCTGTCGGGGCTGGGCAGATTCCCAATTCCTCCCAAGTCCTTCAGCCTCCAAGTAAGCCTCCTTGAATCCCTGGTACCTGCCCATTGGCAGGTACAGCGACAGCCACATCCAGGGAATAAATGCCACTTCCCCCCTTCTTCCAATGGCCCCTTCTTAGCCTTCACCTCCTCTTTTCTTCTCTTTCTTTTTTTCAGGTACAAGACCAGGACTTGAACTCAGTACCTGCTGCTTTCGCTCATTGGCTAGCGCTGTACTGAGCCACACCTCCTACCCCAGCCTCCATATCCTCTCTCCTGCTCATTCGCTTATTTTTTATTTATTTTTTAAAAATTTTCTTTGTTGGTCGTGGGGCTTGAACTCTGGGCCTGGGCGCTGTCCCTCAGCTCTTTAGCTCAAGGTGAGCGCTCTACCACTTGAGCTACAGCACCACTTCTGGTTTCCTGGTGGTTCATTGGAGATCAGAGTCTCATGGATGTTCCTGCCCAGGCTGGTGGTGAACCTCGATCCTCAGATCTCAGCCTCCTGAGTAGATGGGGTTATAGGCATGAGCCACCCACACCTGGCTCATTCACTTATTTACACTCAGGTTTGGTAAGGCCTTCCTCTCATCATCATGATTGGCTCTGCAGTCCCCAGAGCAGAAACCTCCAAGTGAATGCACAAGCACAAGAATAAATTTCAAGTACCAGTCAGGTGCCGGTGGCTCCCACCTATCATCCAAGCCACTCAGGAAGCTGAGATCTGAGGACCAACGTTCAAAGCCAGCCTGAAGTCATCTCCAAAAAGCTGGAGGTGGAGCTGTGGCTCCAGTGGTAGAGCATCAGCCTTGAGTGATCAAGCTAAGAGACAGCACCCAGACCCTGAGTTCAAACACACACACACACACACACACACACACACATGTTCCAGTATGTGTCTTCTTGACTGTCTTGCAGACTCTGAAGGTGAGATCACCCTCCTAGCTGGTCAGCAAGGCTAGGGAGCAAGTGTTAGAACAAGTGAGAGGGGCAGACCCCCCCTCCAGGGTCTCCCCCATGCACAACCTTGATCTCTTGACACTTATTGGGCCCTCCAGGGGGTGGAGAGCATTCCAATCCAGCTCCTTCCATTTTACTGATGAGGAAACAGAGACGGAGACATACAGAACATCTTATATAAGCACCTCCGGACTGAGCATGCGGTAGGTTTCTAAATCTTAGTCAAAATGAAAGAAGGGGAGGGAGGGAGGGAAGGAGAGGGAGAGATTCTGACTCACTTCTAAACAGCCTCCACCATATGGTTTATGCTGCATAATAACTCCAAAAAGGAGTTCAGCCTAGCAGTCATTGCTGGAATCTGACTGCAGTAGTCACGTGAGGACACCCGTGCAGGAAGGGCTAAAAGCGGAAAGGAAGAGGCTCAGGAACACAGTTCTGGCCCACTGGGGCTCACTAAAGAGGCTGTGAGTAGAAGGATCACAGTTGGAGGCCGGCCTGGGTAGAGAAAGGTACCCAAGAATCTAGCTCTGTAATTCATCAGCAAAGAGAGCAGGGCTGGAATTATGGCTCAGGGGATCATGTGCCCCGAACTCTCAGCCGAAACAAAACAAGCCTTCCCCAAATCAAAACCACAAACAAAGCATAGCTTTGGATAAGAAAACTCTAGGAAGCTGGACATTGGTGGGCTCACACCTGTCATCCTAGCTACTCAGGAGGCTGAGATCTGAGTTCAAAGCCAGGCCTAGGTAGGAAAGTCTATGAGACTCTGATCTCCAATGAGCTGCTAGAAAACTAGAAGTGGTGCTGTGGCTCAAGTGGTAGAGCGCTTGCCTGGGGGCCCCTCAGGGGAGAGGGGAACCCGATCTGAGATGAAGTTGGAAAGGGACCACATGGGTGAGACCCCCCAGAAACCCTGACCTCCACAGCTTTGAGTCAGCACGGAACGGGCACCCAAACTTACCAGCTCCCAGCTATCTGCGGGGTGTGGCGAGGCGACCTGGGGACAGCCCCGGGCCTCCAGCCCAGGCTGCAGTGTGGCCTCCATCCGTTCCACAGAAAGCAGCTGACAACCTGTAAGAGAAAAGAGACAGCTGGATCAAGCTCTTAAATCTATCGGCCCTAAGCCAGACCCACAACTTCCTTCTGAAGGGGATAACAAGGAAGTTGGGGGCAGAATTCACAACTGCTGACCACTGAGGACCCTTTCGTAATCAAGAAAGAAGCAGTGGGTTTCCAGAAGAATGCGTGCCCTGGGGGGGCGGGGAGGGGGGCTGTGGGAAGGCTGACGTCAAGTTCCAATGTTCATTCCTTCGGTCAGGTATTCACATCCATTGGTTTTCGAAATTTCATTTCATTTTGGTGCCAGTCTTGGAGTCTGAACGTAAGCCTCCTTCCCCCAAACCTCCCACTTCCCGCTTGGGTCTTTTACTCAAAGCTGGTGCTCTAGCACTTGAGCCACAGCTCCATTTCTAGCTTTTTGCTGGCTCATTGGAGATCAGAGTCTCTTGGGACTTTCCTGCCCGGGCTGGCTTTGAACCATGATCCGCAGATCTCAGCCTCTTGAGTAGCTAGGGTGACAGGCGTGAGTCACCAACACGTGGCTCCAGAGCAAGACCTGGGGTGAGTCATTGGTGACTTTGAATTCCTCGTTCGTCACGTAGAAAGAAGGAAAGAATCGGAGCTCTCAGAAGGCTTCTGGGAGGGCTCAACAGAACCAAGCTTAGGAGATACTGTGTAGAATAGTGTAGAGAAGATGCAGTTCATAGGCAGTCAGTATGCTGGGTCAGCGATCTTGTCTTCACGCAGCTGCACGGTCTCCCAACATGGAGGCCTTACTTTCTTCATCTATGAAATGGGAACACCCATGTCAAAGGGCTGGGAGAGGAGCGGGGGACTGATGAGATCAAGAGAAGCAAAACCTCCTGCTCAGATGGCTTTAGCCTCATTCAATGTCTACCAGATGCTGGGCTCGGCTGGGTAGGGTGGCTCACGCCTGTCATCCCAGCTACTCAGGAGGCTGAGTTCTGAGGATCACGGT